GCCTGACCCGCGCATCCCTTCTCGCGGAGGCCGGGCTGGACGCGGAGGCGCGATGGGGAGCACTTTTCCTCCTAGCAGCAGATGGGGGTCGGTTGGGAGGCTCCCACTTCCCAGGGGCGCCCTGGGGCCTTTTACAAACTTCCATGCAGGGTGTCAATCAGAGAAGGGCAGACTGGCAGCAGCCGCATTTTCCATTCTTGGTGTCGTGCGGGGTCTGTGGGTGACTTTGGGGGGAATGCGCATCAGAAGAACCGCCTGGGGGGGCAGAGAGGTGGGGACCAGCTGCCCTTCGGGTCCCTCCTTGTGGTGGCGGTCCTGCAGGGTTGTGGCTTCTCGTTCTTCTTGGGAAGCGAACACCCAGTTCTCCCTGGCAGTCCTGTTCTGCTGCGGGCAGGTCCCGTGGGCGCCCGGGTGCGCACCCTGGGCCCCCAGGTGTGCCTGGAGAGGGCGCCGTTTCACCAGACACCTTGGAAGTCCCCTCAGAGGAGCTCTAATCGCGGAGGCGCCGTCCTTCCAGCGGACTCGGGGGCGATGGCTCCCGCGGGCCATGGAGGGTGCAAGATGTATTTGGGGGGGGGGGCGTGTGTTACAAAAATCCTCCCTACTCAGTATGTTTAGTTTCTTGCTCACCTTGCAAGGTTTTCTTAAAAAAGTCTCTGCTTCGCACAGAAGGAATTTAGATCACCCAGGAGCGAGCAGCCGCCCACTCTCCCAAACAGATCTATTTCTTTTTTATGTGGTTCCATAATATCTGCAAATGTGTTTGTTGTGCCCACGAAAAGCTGATGTCGCTCAGGTGGATTTTATTTTGTATTTTTTATTTTCATTTCCGTGCCACTGAGAATTCTGAGGAGATAGCCCTGGAAAGTAACGATCGGTTTATAGGTCTGTAACAGCGAATTTCAGCGGGGAATAACTTATGGGAAACGGCTCCTATCTTTGTCAAAAGCAGATGGAAAGTGTCTCGATCACATATTTCCCTGGGAAAGAGGGTTTGGATTGGCCGAGGACTGAAACACTGCAGTGGGATAACACATCCATTCTGGGTTCTGCTGCCTAAATTATGAGCGTCCATTAGTCAATTCCATTTACCCTTTAGACCATCCACAGTTTATAGCACAGATGAAATCAGAACAAACAGATGAGGACTGTCATCTTTTAAAAATATACACACATAGCTTTGTTTAAGGAAAACGCCAGCAGAATTTTCGTTAAGAATTTCCTCCAGAAAATTATTGAAAACAAATACCAGGAGATGTACCTCGATGCAGAATTTAGTAGGGTCATTTAAAATTCATTACAAAATAATTGCACTCCTAACACCGACATCGATTGCAATGAAAGATTATATAAAAATAAAAGGCAGTACTTGTAATCAGTAAATGGCAAGAGTTTGTTTGGGAAAAAAAATCCTTAAAATGTAACAGATAACACATTGAGCTGGAGAGCAAATGATCTCTATGGGGCCCATTTATTTATGTTTTTATAAAATTGAATCTAATTGACCAGTTCCAATAAACGCGTTTCTTCAAGCAGGTAGATTCCCACCCTGCCCGAGAAGCGGGGGTATGGGGGTCCTTGATGCAGGAATGATCTGGGCACACCTTGTGTTTACTTGCCGGGCATGTGAAGCAAAAACTTTGTATTCTTTTTGCTTTTAACTCATTAGTCTCTTTGGGAATAAATGCAGTCACCATTGGTTTGATTTCCTGAAGATGTTGCCAGGTGCCATTTGTTATTTATCTGTAACATTTTAAAGAAACACTAGTTACATGTATCACCAAAGAATTTCTAGACCTTTCAGGAAATGGTATGTGATTTTAATATCTAATGTGAGATGTTTTCACATATATATATATTTTAAAAAGCTGTGTCTATGTGAACAGCAGCAACGATAAAAAGTCTAAATTGCCCCTTGATATAAAGAGAGACACAGGAAGTTGTGCGGCCGGTGCTGGTATTTATCCTGACTTTCTTCTTTGGCCTGGCATTTAAAAACACAGACAGACAATGAATCAGGTGTCTTTGGACAATCAGCTGGGTTCATCTAGTGGAAAACTCTCAAAGGAGTTTTCAGTATTTTCATTAAATGCCTGCACTTCAGGAGCAGGGTCCGAGGCGCCTGGTATGGAGGGTGCATGGAGGTGACGATTACTTATTGGCCATGGCCTCTTTTGTTCTGTTTTGTGGTTAAAGAAAACATCTTCTCTAAGTTCTGCAAAGTATGGGCAGATTTTTAGTGGGTTACCATACTCAACAAACTAGTTTTTCTCTGAGAACTTGTAGTTACTTTGGAGGGCAGAGTACGCCCCTCTCAGTATCCAGGATGGGTAAGCCTTTTCCTCCCTCCTGTAAATTCACTTCTTGGAGGTGTTTGCTAACTGCTATCATTGGATTGCTAGCTGGCCTCAAAAGAAAATGAATTCCTCGTGGAGAACGGAAATGCAGAATTTCAGTAGAGCTTTTGATTGGTCAGAGGAAGCAGAATGAAAGACAGAGCTACCTGAATAATATGCGATGTTTCCTTATAAAATACCCATCGGTAAGATCCTCTGTAGGGAGTTGACCTCAGTCAAGTGGCTATTGTTCCCTCGAATGTCAGTAGAAAGTCTGGCGATCCATCGGGCCAGAGTAGGGGCTGGAGGGTGGCCGTTTGAGGTCCACTGAAATACAGTACTGTATCGAGCTTTACTAAAAGCTGCATATTTTCAGACAAGCCTTGAGCCTGAAAAAACTGAGTTTTCATCATCCCCACTTCACTGTACTCTGGACAGACGGCACTGATGCTGGATTCCTCTTGCCTGGCAAGAAGCTCGTAAAGTAAACTCTGTGAGCCGAGCACTATAACTCATAGTTTTAGTTTAAAGCTGGGTTTAAAAAAACAAATATTTTAATAAGCCAATTTTAAAGGCTGAACTTTTATGACAGTTTTTAAGCTTCGTGTATATATTCATCTATTCTCACTGGTGTCTTTAAACCCATGAATGCACGCTGGAATGTCTGTTTATATTTGTGTCTTTTCATGGGAAAGGATAAATGTGCTGCAAAAGGCAAACCAAAGACAAAGCTCTGCACCAGCAGAGTTCACGAATGAGGCAATAAAACTCCACGATGAGATGAATGTGTGACTGTAGCCAAGGAACAGAAAGCCATAAAGAAGCAATAGCATCTAAGAGATATAGACAGGGGTGCAGTCAAGACGAAATACTGAAAACAGAAACTGCTTAACAAGGTGTTCCACGCGGCCACCTGAGGCTGTGCACGTGATAGGATTGTATGGAAAGGATCGCGCGCGCGCGCGCGCGCGCGCACACACACACACACACACACACACACACACACACGGTGCATGTAAAATTGGAGAAAGTGGAATACGGTCTGGAGATGGTAATGTCAGTCTCCTGGCTGTGACATTGTATGGAGCACTGAAAGGTGTTAGCACTGGAGGAACTGAGTGACGAGGATGACGGGAGGAATGTCTGTTTATATTTGTGTCTTTTCATGGGAAAGGATAAATGTGCTGCAAAAGGCAAACCAAAGACAAAGCTCTGCACCAGCAGAGTTCACGAATGAGGCAATAAAACTCCACGATGAGATGAATGTGTGACTGTAGCCAAGGAACAGAAAGCCATAAAGAAGCAATAGCATCTAAGAGATATAGACAGGGGTGCAGTCAAGACGAAATACTGAAAACAGAAACTGCTTAACAAGGTGTTCCACGCGGCCACCTGAGGCTGTGCACGTGATAGGATTGTATGGGAAGGAGCACGCGCGCACGCACACACACACACACACACACACACACACACGGTGCATGTAAAATTGGAGAAACTGGAATACGGTCTGGAGATGGTGTAATGTCAGTCTCCTGGCTGTGACATTGTATGGAGCGCTGCAAGGTGTTAGCACTGGAGGAACTGAGTGATGAGGATGACGGCATCTCTCTGTATTATTTCTTACAACTTCATGCGAATCTGTAATCATCTCAAATAAAAAAATTTTAAAAAGTTATTCCACAAGGATTAATTTTTTTCTATATCCAAATGAGCAAGTTACTATACCTTATCTCAGAGTAATAGACTAAAACTATGCTTTGAGAAAATATCCCTTTTTTTCCTGATGTCGTTTGTATTATTGCTCTTCTTTTCAGAACATGAGGAATCTCAACACATTTCCCACATATAGTTAATTAGGAGTGTTTCTTTGTAATTCTTTAAAGAGTAGAATTCCAGAAATCTGAGAAAAATACCAATCAATGTTTATTCCTATTCTAATAAAGAATATATTTTTCAAAGAAGTGTTAGGAAATACTTACCTGAAACTGGCACATTTGCTTTTAGCTAAGTCTGTATTGACTTACATCACACACACAGACACACACTCTGCTAAAGGCACCGATTCATAGAAATTATTCGCTATGTAGTGTAGACTCTAAAAGTTTAGTATTCAGAGACACACACAGTTAGAAGGAGCGGGGAGAGAGAGAAAAAGAGAGAGAGAGAGATCAAATCCCTCAATTCAGTCGTGGTTATTTTAAATTAATATTTGTTTGTCCTGGGAACATATTTTGTACTTGGTTCAACAGTAAACCTCTGAATGCAACTTAGTTATATTAAATGTGCCTAATTACATGCTAGTGCTGGAATGAGCTGCAGGGACATGTGATGGAAGAGCAGTGTGATTTTCATGCTGAGTAAACCCAGGCACAGTGGTATTTTTCTCCAGTGATTACTAACGGTTGTCACATTGAAAGGAGACTTGAATCAGAAACGGGAAAAGCCAGCATGCAGCTTTATTCTGACAGGAGAGACATTTTTAGTGGTTAGTTGAAAATAGAGTCATTTTGAATCAAAACAGTGTTTTACATGCTTTGAATACCTGTACTATTTTACCCGCAATGTGACGGTTTGGAATCACATGCTCCTGTGATTATGGGTAAGGAAGCACATGGGCGGGGGGTCTATCGAGGCTGTTTGGTGTTCACCCTGTTTCTCATCAGGACACCTCTGTTATCTGACCAGGGAGTTGTGATTATGGGTAAGGAAGCACATGGGCGGGGGGTCTGAGCGTGCGCTGTCTATCGAGGCTGTTTGGTGTTCACCCCGTTTCTCATCGGGACACCTCTGTTATCTGACCAGGGAGCGAGTTCGATGACTCGCTTCTCACGACGCCTCCTGTAGAATTGCAATTTTACTTCTCAAGTCCTGAGAGCAATGCCTTCAACATCAGGCACGACCCTCCTTCCTGGAGGTCAGAATTTCTCCATCAATTAAATGAAGGGCAGGGTTGAACCCAGAGAGCTTTCAGTTTTCAAATTCAGTTATTCTGGAAGATATCACTTCCTTTTAGCTCACATTCAGCCTTAAAAAAATAGCCATCAGCATCTTTTGGGGGCTTGTAAATTCAGTGATGTTGTCTGGCATTGGGTTCGTAGTTCTCACTGTTTAATTCCTTGGCGAGCTCACATTTGTTTTTCTGGCTGTGCAGGTCTGGTGTGTGACTGACGGGAAAGATTTGGGCAAAAACCTTGATTTTCATTAACCCTTTGATGGTGACCAAGCGTCAGACCCCAACTGTATGGCTGAGGTTTGGGGTGTGGTCGCCCCCAGAGCCCTTCCCAAGTGCCGGGCCGGGCAGCTCAGACAGGACACGGAGGGCTGGCCTTTGGCTTGTAGGGGGAGGCGTAGGGAGCCTTTATCTGACTTCCCCATGGAGAGCAGATGCCCAAGCGTTTGTTGTGAATGCTGTTTTTCTGTGCTGTACAAGTAAAAAGCCCAGAGCCTTTCTGTTAAATTCTCTGGGAGTATGTCTCTCTTCTTAAGAGGTTCGAGAGTGTTCTGCCTGCCTCAGAGGCAAGTGGGGGCTCCGGGAGAGGCAGCTTGTAAAAGAAACACACTCCCTAAAAGAAAACACGGGCCGGTTTACAGCCGGCGGCGGCCGCTGCGGGTTCTTTGTGTGTTCCACTCCGAACGTTCTGTAAGTCACAATGCAAACAGGCAGCGTGTTCCTTCATCATGAGATCTGGGAACAAATGTCGAGTTGCTCTTTCCTCCTACGAAGCTCAGTGCTTTCAGTAGCTTCGGTTTGCAGGCATGCAGAAGGCTCAGAAGTGAAAAGCCTCGGGCTCTGTGTGACTTTCCGGACCCGTGGGTGCAAAGGTGCCTGCCACCTAGTCCTTGCCTCCCCGGACTTTAACTTGGAGGAGCAATAACCAGGCAAGCAGCCTGGCAGGGTTAGCAAGATCTATACCCTCATTGGGTCACTTCCAGAACGCACGTGTGAATTCAAAGTCCTGTTCTTCATGAGATCGCCTCGGTAACACACGTGAAGCACTGGCCGCGCCTTTGGGAAGGAGCGGAGCGAGAATGTCTCTGTTCACATAACTGGGCTGGACGGTGAACAACGTCTTCACTGAAGAGTCATGTCCCTGAATTGACATCATTCCAAATTGTGTGCTGCGTCCATATTGGCTCCTGATGAGGTTTCAGAATGCACCCAGTACCTGCCTCCCCCGTTTCATGATACCTGTGAGGAGGAGGGGCCTTCAGAGAGAAGGATCTGTCCCTCTGTGCACTGTGTCTGTCTGGAGAGCATATCTTCTCCAGCCACCCCTCCCTGCACCCGCTGAGCTCTCGTCTTCTATTATTATTCTTGTTGTTGTTATTGTTAACCAAAGTCCATGTAGAGTTCCGCATTATAGTAAGTAATAAAGAATGAACACAAAGCCCAGCATCAGATCTCAGCACCATCACACAGGGAGTAACGCCATCAGGATTCTCCGAGCCCAGAGTTTCTGGGGTTTCTGGGCAGCTCAGGAATAGATGCACCCCCACATGTGTGCTTGGTGAATCCTTCGTTACTATTTTCTAAGAAAATCGTCCCACTGATACTAGAACAGAAGTGCCCCAAGGGTATCTGCCCTAGGAAACCCGGTGTGTTGTTTGTGATGATTTCTCTTGTGCAAAATGACCTGCTCTGACCACCCACCCCTCGTGGCTCGTGTGGGGGCTCCGGGTGTGTCCAGGTCCCTCTGGTATAATTGTGCAACAAACAGTCGCCCAGTGAGACCTTTTAAGGACAAAATTAACTTAAGGCTGTTTTGCTGGGTGTTAAATTATTGCCCATTCCAAAACTTTGCTTTTTGAGGGTAGAGATTTTATTTTAATTAAACAATAATCAAAAGCCATGGACTATGATGCATTTATCTGCTCGTTTCAACTATGGCTATTATGCTATATCCGTCTTTGTTTTATTGCATTCCACAAATGAACAATTTCATAGAATTTCATTGTCAATCAATTTAATCTCCTTGTGTGTCTCCAGTGACTCTGTTAACCCATCATTTACAATTTATAACATGAAAAAGGCAATTTTCTCAGGAAGGACAAAGTAAAAGAGAAAACGAGGATGTGGACAGGAAAAGGGATGTGTGGAGAACTTCACGAGGAGTGGGCAGTTGAGGGACCCAGGCTGTGGGCAGCCCCGTCCCTCCCTCTGCTGCTTGGTACAGAGATGGCCTCTCCCTCGGGTCCCTCAGACACCTGGAGGACAGAGGCTTATCCGGACAAGCGCCCTGCCTGCCTTCCCAGAGAAATGACACTTTGTGAAAATTCCAGCAGGCCACCTCATTGCTGCCGGGAGGTCACCTGGGCCATGGTGACTTGACAAGGACCCACAGTGCCCTCGCCTCTCATTTCTTCCCAGGCATCGAAGTTGCCCTGCAAGGGGCATCCGAGAAGGCCCAGAGGTGCCCCTGCCGGCCTGCCACAGTCACCAGGTGCTTCAGGTGCCAGAGAAGGCAGAGCCTGAGAGCAGGTGGTCAAGGTGGTGGGGACTGTAGGAGAAGGGTGCTGGGCTGTGGGCTGCTCAGTGCACCTGAGTGACCTGGAGGGACCTCCGATGGCCGTGGAGGGGAGCGGGAGGGAAGACCCTGCGTGCTCCACCGCCCTCATACTTCTTGGACCTCCGTGTGGCCGGCCTCAGAGCTGCTCGCGGATCCACCCTCAGGTCACGCCGCCGAATGTCTGAGCTTGAGCCCAGCGCGCCTCAGCATTTGCCAAGGTTAATGAAAGGAAGTGATAACTCAGCATTTATTTCCTCCTCCTGGATTTCGTAGCTGTAGACCTCACCCTACGTCAAATTCCTCTTTCAAAGCTTTGGCTCCCCTGAAGACAGCCGGCCTCCAGGAGCAGATCAGCCCGCCCACCGTGGGGTCTGCAGGGGAAACAGATGAGCCTGGCTCTGCGGACAGCCAGAGACCACGTGGTCCATCCTGGAAGCATCCTCCTGCTTGAACGGTGATAACAGGCTACTTCCACAGGTGACAGACCTGTTCTCCGCTCGTGCCTGGGAAGCGTGTCCCTGTGGGGAGCCTGCGAACCAAGCTCTCGGACCATCAGCTTGTGGTGTACGTTGTTTGAAAGTTACAGCAACTAGAGTTTAATGCTAATTACACAATTTCACTTTTTCTAACCAGAAAGAAGGAGAGGGAAAGTGAGGAGCACAGTTGGATGCTGGCGGCAGTGCGGGCTCCGGGCGCCCTCTGTGCTCGCCGCTGCTCCACCCTCCACACCGCGAAACAGTCGTCCACCGAGGCAGAGCGCTCGCACGTGTGAGGATGTGGGTGGATGTGACTCCCCACAAGGGATTTTGCAACTTATTGAAGTCATTGTTTCCAGAATAAACCATGTGTCATTCTTTCCCTTAGTAATGAGCATCTGTGTGATGGAGCATTTGTCTATTTTGGGAAATTTTAATTAGACAGAAGCCCAAGGCTGTTGCCTTGGTAGGAGCAGGCCAGAGTCCCCAGTTAGTCTGCTGGGCAGAACCCGTTGTCTTGTGTCCCGGGCATCTGTTCTCCGAAGCAAGACTCCTCTGACGTTGGCCATGGCGTGGACAGTACTTTCTGCCCCTCAGTCCTTTAATTCTGTGCGGCCTTAGGCAAAGCACAGCCTCCCGGTTTAGCGACTGATCTCTAAAATGACGCGTGAGTTCCTGATAGCCCTCCCGTCAGGAAAATCCTCAGCACCTGGAGGCAGGGCAGCTCCTTCCTAGTCACCTGCCCCTCAGCACTGGGACCCTCATTCCTCACAGTTGCCAACAGGGAAGACAACAGGAATGCCCACCAGCAGAGGAATGGGCGCGTAGGCATGGTTGCACCACGCGATGGACTGTTACTCCACCAGAAGAAGGTCGACGCTCATTCAAGGAGGAACCTTGAAGTCATTGCGCTAAGTGGAGGAAGTCAGACACAAAAACCAAATAGTGTATGACTGCATTGAAATGAAAAGCCCAGGACAGGCAAAAATGAACTGGTGGTCGCCAGGGACTGGGGTTGGGGGCAGGGCGTGGGGCGGGGAGGGGGACATGACTGCTTAACCGATGTGGGAGTTCTGCTTGGGGCCGTAAGAAGGCTCTGGAACTAGGTAGGGATGGTGTTTGCACAACAGTGAGACTTAATTCCACTGACTTGTGCACTTTCAAACGGTTGAAATGATAAATTATATATTTGGGTATTTTACCACCAAAAAAAATCCTATGACTCAGCCCAGGGGCCTCTCTGGTAACCGTAGGAGGTATCATAAGCCTTCAACTTTTCTCCACTTTCCACAGATGTTATCCAGTTTATCCACATGATTCAGTGCTTATCAGATGATTCTCATTTCGTCTAGTTGTGTCTGAGTAAAAGCATTTCCTTTCGAAATCTATTTCCTAATGTGCTCATTAAAAAGCAAGTTCCCCAGGCGACTCGGGTAACACACGGCTTCTGCTCCGCGGTGACCCTAGGGGGCCTGTCCGTGGCGCCTCTGGAAGTCTCTGGAAGCCTCTCCCGGGACTGAGTTCTCACACTTCGGGGGTCGGGGCCAGGAGGGAGTGGCCCCAGCATTCTGCATCTCTGCATCTGGTGGGGGTGGTCCAGGAGCCGATCAGGGCCAGCAGTTTGCTCCCCAGAGCCAGACCGTCCAGGCTGGTTCCAGGCGCAGAGATCCCCCAGGGCGGTTGCCGCCACCAGGGGTGATTCCTGGAAAGTGGGGCTCTGGCTCCGCGCTCGCTCCAGTCCTGCTCTGCTGAGGGCTGGGAATGGAGCCACGCAGTGAGTGTGCTTGTGGGTGCTGCCCCAGAGGGAGGTGAGGGTGACACAAAACCATGCCGGGAACTGCTGTGACATTTATTACTGTCACTTCACGGCCGCTGGATCCTCGAGCTGGCCTTCCAGCGTGTAGCAAGCCAAGTCAAAGAAAAAGAAGAATTCCCACCACATTAAAATTGTAAACTTCTAAATACCAAAAAAGAGCCTGATAATCAGAATTTTACATGAACCAGGAAGTATTTACGATGTTTTACAGGGGACCAGTACTGTAACTAGACAGAGTCCTTCAAAATTCAAAAGAAAACGGGCAATTGTACTGCAGAAAATAAGGGAAAATATGGACTTACAAAAGAAGACATTTATTTGGCCAATGAATATATAAAAAGTGTTGAACTTCAACAACAGCCAAGAAATTGAAAATAAAACAGGACGATATTATGTTTTATTAAATTGGAAAAAGTATAAAGATGAGCCCCAGGATTGAGGAAGGTGTGCCAGGCCGTCCTGCCCTTGGCAGTGAGCAGCGGGATTATAAAATCTTTCTTAGAGATTCTGATAGATAAGAAAAGATTTTAAAACAGGAAACACCCTTTGAGAGCGCATTCCACGCCTTAGGGCAGTGGTTCTCAACCTTCTGGCCCTTTAAATACGGTTCCTCATGTTGTGACCCAACCATAAAATTATTTTCTTTGCTACTTCATAACTGTAATGTTGCTACTGTTATGAATCGTCATGTAAATATCTGATATGCAGGATGGTCTTAGGCGACCCTTGTGAAAGGGTCGTTCGACCACCAAAGGGGTCTCGACCCACAGGTTGAGAACCACTGCCTTAGGGACTATCGAGTGAATAATGGCTAATATTACTGACATGTCCTGGGAAGTTGCTCAAATAAATTGTGGTTTATCCAGATGCGGGAACACGATGCAGTCAGCAAAATTTGTATCGTAAACAAATATTTAATAACATGAAGGGGAAGGTTACGTGGGGGGCAGATCACACGGTCTCAGGTTGAAAATTCCAAGTGTGTGCTCACACGGGTGTGTTTATCTCAGAGAGGAGAGAGGGAAGTCGCCAGGTCAGCGATTTTCATCCTTCCTCATCTCATGGCGCACAAACTGATTACTAAATTCTGCGACACACCAAGAAATACATTTTTTGCTGATCCGATAAAAAAAAAGGTATACTTTGATTCATTCACACTGACAGCTACTGTTGTATGGGCTGTTGTCATCGTTTTAATTGACAACCGAAGGGAAAGGAGGTCCGTCTGAAACATCCTTGCAGCTCCCTGGCTGAAAATCGCTGCTCTGGACCAAAACGTCAAGGGAAGATCTTTCTCTCCTTCATACGGGTCTTACTGCTTTTCTTTCTTTTCTAAATTTTCTGCGAATGCCTGGTATGACTTTTGAAATTTGAGAAAAGAAACCAGTGCTTTTTAAAGAAAGAGTGGGAGTCACATCCCAGCCACCCCTTCCTCTGCACTGTGGTTCCCTCTGCCCCAAACCTCCCCAACCCCAGTCCCTCCCAGTACAGCAGGGAGTGCTTTTGCCTCTCCCACCCCCACTCCCACCTCCACCTCAGAGAAATGCCTTCCTGGGACCCTTTCTCCGGTGTGAGGCCTTTCGTTCCCACTGAAGTCATAGAAGGACGTGCCTTACAAACTCAGTGTGTGTCTTCTGCACCCGCAGTGAAGCCCCCGCTGCATTTACGTGCCACGCCTCAGATGTCAGGGCAGTTCATTGTGTTCTTCCAGAATGTGGCACCGGAGGCCTGGCTCCCTCAGGGACCCTCGGGCTGGCCTCTGCACACGGCCTTGGTTACGGGCTTAGCTCATCTTCCTCCCACGCACTCGCCCCACCCTCCGTTCCCGGGTCCTCGTTTGTCTTTATTTCCTTGTTCTTCTCCATGTATTTACATATTCTTCAGTGTGAACCATTTCCCATCGGTGGAAGCACAGTGAACTCACTAACTCTTCCTCTACCCCTCCTCCCAGGGCAGGAGACCAGGAGGGCAGGAGGGAGGAGGGCAGGGGGCAGGAACTGGGAACAAATGAAAACCCCTGCTTCCTGGATCTGGTCTGGGGGGGGGGGGGGGGGGTTCAGGACTGAAGGTGGAGATGCCCCCACCCACCCCGCGGTCAGGGTCTCCAGAACCTGGCCCCTCCCCTCCCATAACGTCTGAATCACACCTGCACCCGGGGACCCACCACCCTGTGTCCCCAGGCAAAGCCCAGGCTCCGCGTCTCACTTCTCAGATTCTCAGGCCTATGATTTGCACTGGGCCTGCCTTCTTTCACACCCTGGCTGCACTTGATGTGTTCTCCTGGCACATTCTGGGACCATGCTGGCCTGATGACCAGTCCTTTTCAGAGAGAGGACTGAGATGTTTTTTCAGGTTCCACCAGGGCCGGGAAGCGGCCGAGGTTTCCGGGAGGGAAGGCCTGGGCCCGCACCTTCCCCGGCTCCGAGCTGAGCGTTCATCCTCCGTCCCGGCCACAGCTGCCTTTTGCTGCAGAGACAGCAACCATGAGGTGAAGGCCGGGTTAGTCCCCGAGCGGGCCTCCTGCATGATTCAGCCCGGGGAGCACAGTGACTCAGAGCCATGGCTTTTGTCTTCTGGCTGCAAACAAACAGAGCAGAGAGGCTTTCATGGGACGCCAGGACTCCTGGTGGAGGCAGCTCCCAGCTCCTGAGGGCCAGCCTGGGCACAGGCGTTCGGGACCGGCTGGATCAAGACCAGGTGGGACCAGGGCAGAGAGGCTGGTGCCCGCTGGGCAGAGCAGGGCCAAGAGGTTGGGGTGGGGGACAGACCTTGGCCGCTCTGCAGAGATGTTGGGCCAGGGTCGACCCTGCCCCAAGGTCCACCCTGCTCCTGGGTTCACCTGCCCTGGGCGTACCTGACCTGGGTGCACCTTTCCTGGGTTCACCTGCCCTGGGTGCACATGTTCTGGGCCCACCTGCCCTGGGCCCACCTGCCCTGGGTGCACCTGCCCTGGGCCCACCTGCCCTGGGTCCACCTGCCCTGGGCCCACCTGCCCTGGGCCCACCTGCCCTGGGTCCACCTGCCCTGGGCCCACCTACCCTGGGTCCACCTGCCCGGGACCCACCTGCCTTGGGCCCACCTGCCTTGGGCCCACCTGCTCTGGGTCCACCTGCCCTGGGTGCACCTGCCCTGCGTCCACCTGCTTGGCCTTCATTGGTACATGCAGAGCACTGTTCCACATCCTGAAAGCCACACCCCCAGGATGTACCTGTCAGGTACAACCCCATAAGCAGTCTCCCTTCTCTGAGCTCCTGCTCTCTAAAGAAGGGGGTCCTTGGCGGTCCCCCTCTTCAAGACCCTCCTCAAGGTCCACAGTGCAAGGCGTGTGGCAGGGCTGGGCCTGGGGATCCATGGAAGGGGATGGGCTCTGACAGGCCGCAGGGAAGCTGAGATGAGAGCAGGGTCAGGTGGCTGGGTGGGGGGCCTCCCCCGCCGGGCCTGGCTGTGAAGTGGTGTGAGGACCTCCTCCCTCCCCTCCAAATGGCAAAGAGCAGAGAAAACGTGGCAGAGCCACCCTGCCCGGGAGAGCACGGGGAACAAAGACGAGTGAAGATGCCGCGTGCTGACAGCTGAGC